GGGGGGGGGGGGGGATCCACCCTAGCCCCTATGTGGGTCCACTACTGCTTATATCTATATACAGTAGATATAACAATTTTTTTTGGGAGTATATAGTTATAACATTAAATTTTTTTTTTTACTTTTCACGCCAACCAACAAGTTCTGAAAAAGAAAAAAAAATATAATTTTAATATTATAATTATATATTCCCGGTTTACAAACAGTTAAAATCACAAACGTGTGTCCTTTAATACAAACTATTTACAAGTTATGAAGCAGGAAAGTATTTGATGATTGTTATTTATTCTTTGTGAGTACTTTTCCTTTGTGGTCGTATGTCTTCGATAATCATTGCACCCGTTGTGAATAGATTTAGACTACGTGTATGAATTTTACGTCATACAAAATTCTACTACGTGAATGTATCTTTGTCCACCCACTTTTTGCTTGCTTATAAATTATAAATGCGCTTAAAATTTGTAGTTACAAAAATATAATTTGAGTATCCTTTTGATTTTTTCTTAAAATGATTTAATATGAGTTTCGTAGAAAAGTTTATTTCTTTTTTTTTTTAAGAAATACCAAGTTTATAATCTACAAAAATCTAATTTTAAATCTTAATTTTTTAATCTAAAATAACATTATTTTGAAAATAAATATAAATAATTTATCTATATTTACCGTATAAACGTTAAAACCTTATATTATATACAATTTTCTCTCTCAAGTTTCATAAACCTCTTTTTGTGAAAAATTGAAAGCATTTGCGTTTTTAGAAGTCAAATAGCCAGTCATGTGTGTCCCTTCCCGCACTTCACTTCATGCTTTAACTTTGACCCTTAAATATATAAATTTGGAATCTATAGTTTTTATTTGTCCTTGAGGCTTAACAAAATGGATCTCATCGTTTTTGGACTCCACTTCATGGTTTTTTTTTTTTTTTTTCATTCAAATATATTTCCTAATTTTATATTCATTTTTATTCTGCTTACTGTTTGGATTTTATATTCCGTTCTTATTTTTGCTTACCCTTGTTTTCTTACTCTTTGTTCTTTACAAAAGCACCAACATTCAAAACCGGTTTAACAGTCTACACCATCCAAAAGCAAAATAGATATTTTGTTTCCTTTATTCTTCCAGCATAATCTGTCGCTTACAGTTAATACTTTTGCCGACTTGCTTGAGTTCATTTCTTCCTTTAATCTCCCCTTTTCTAAACAATATTTTTTCATATCAACATTATTGTAAGTTGTATTTTCAATTTTTTTTGGTAGAGACGTTCGCGGTCTAGATTGGATCGGTTTAGATGCAAAAATTATCTGATCCAATCTCTTCGGTTTAATCATATAATCATCTATTCGGTTTGATTTTTTTTTTTTAAATCTGATCCGATCAAATCCAATTTTTTTCAGTTTGGATTGAATCGGTTTTCGATTTTTTGAAAATCCTAAAATTGATTTCATGATTATTGTGCAAATAACATCTTTTGTATATATTGGCTTTGTAATTTTATTTTTTTTGAAATACAAAAGTATAAGTAAACGATGATATACTTTTTTTTTTTTTTAGACAATGAGATATGAAGTTCTACACAGATGAAATTTTGTTGATGAGATGTGACTAGATTTTTTCTTGGGTTTAGTTGATGGATTAATGAGTCTTGGGTTTAGAAATTTTTGGGCTATGATTGGGGGAAAATCCAAGTAGGTAGAGGGGAAGTAATATATTGGATCAGTTTTCATCAACCAATCCAAAAACTGATCTAATCCAATTAAAATTTGCGATTTTATTTTTATTTTTGATTTTTTGATTTTCGATTTATTCGGTTATCAGTTTTTCGATTTGGTCACCGCGATTTGAATCGGTTTGGATCGGTTGATGAACACCTTTATTTCCTGGATCTCATTTGTATTTAACGATTTTGATTTTTCAATGATGTGAATAATTAAATATAATTAATTGGATCAATGAACAGAATGTAAAACTTTTTATTTGTTATTTGGATGAGTTTAATCTCATAATATAGAGCGGAAGTTTTTTTGCCATTGGTCCCAAATTTCATCGCCTAAGATTCGAACAACAAATTTTTTTTTTTTTTTCCTAATAATACGATTGTTGGATACATCCCACTTATCAGCTATGTCACCCTTAGAAGTTAAGACTTTTTATTCTTTTATAAAAATAATTGTTTTTTATATATTCATTCAATAAAAGTTTTGACATATGATTCAGTATAATGATATACCAAAAATAATATCATTCACTATATTATATACTTTAGAAGTTTTGCTTACACGACTTTTTTTTATAGCGTAAACTTCTGTAAATTTTAAAGAAAAAAGACGTGGTAGAAATTATTACAATTCTTAATTAATAAATCAATTAATTTTAAGTATAAATTGGGGATATTTTTTTGGGCTTATATAATTATGGCTGAACTTTAATTACTATGCTCAAATCGCACAAGACTTATGACTGTTGAGAGAAGCAAAAATCGAGATTCTAAATCATTGGAAATAAAAAAGACTTAGACTATTATAATTTTAGGGGTTTAGTGTATGTTATTTAAAAGGATACAAATTGTGTTCTTTTGGTGACTTACACAGAGTATGACCGGTCATACTCTGTGTAATTATGAAAAGTTTTTTTTTTTTTTTCACTTTACTCAGTGATATAACTGAAGAGAGAAAAAAAAAGTAACTTTTCAGGTTTATATAAAATATGATCGGTCATACTTTGTGTAAATTATTTAAAAAGACACAGCTTGTGTCCTTTTAAATGATAGTCTTTTCCCCCTAATTTTAGACATATTTTAATTCAAAACTCGATAATCAACGATTATAATTTATTGAATCAAATTTATTAATTAATTAATAATTCGTAATAAATGAGAATCATTGATTGATTGAGGGGTATCGCAGGTAAGATATAAAATAACATAAAATTATATCATTTAAAAGGATAAATATTTTTTTCAAATTTAAAATAATGAATTTAAATATATTATTTGTAGGGGTATTCATCAATCGATCCAAACCGATTCAAACCGCGGTGACCGAACTGAAAAACTGAAAACCGAAAAACGGAAAACCGAAAAAAAATCGCAAATTTTAATTGGATTGGATCGGTTTTCGGATGGGATGATGAAAACCGATCCAATCCAAACCGATCCAATATATTAATTCCCTTCTACTTGCTTGGGTCTTTTCCTAATTATAACCCAAAAATTTCTAAACCCAATACCTATTAACCTATCAACTAAACTCAAGAAAAAAAACTTAGTCACATTTCATCAATAATATTTCAAAAAAAAAAATTATATTATCGTCTATTGATGCTTCATATCTCATTGTCAAAAAAAAACCTACATTATCATCTATTGATACTTTTGTATTTCAAAAAAAAAAAATTTTACAAATCAATATATACAAAAGATGTTATTTGCACAATAATCATGAAATAAATTTTAGGATTTTTTAAAAAACCGAAAATCGATCCAATCCAAACCGAAAAAAATTGGATTGGATCAGATCAGATTTGAAAAAAAATTCAAACCAAATGGATGATTACATGAACAAACCGAAGTGGTTGGATCAGATGATTTTTTGCTTCCAAAACCGATCCAATCCAAACCGCGAACACCCCTAATTATTTGTACTTTTTTTGTGTTCAAATAATTTTTCTTTTAGAAAGCTAATCTGTCTTTAATACTCGAATACGATTTTGTGAATCAAAAGAAAATCTCGATGTGCACAAATATAATTCCCATTACCTACGCTGTATATATAAAAATAATATTTATAAATCCGACCGAATAAGGTAGGAAATAATTCATGGCATTAATCATACCAAATAAAAACCGCACCAAATACGAACCTTGATTAGCTGTTGCTTCCTCAAACAACCAATCAACAACACTATTGATTGAATTTCTTAGATTTTTAAGATTGGAAAATTTAAAGATATGTTTATTAAATAGAAACTTAAGAACACTTTAAGGAAATAAAAAAATACAAATGTTAAATAAAATAAAATATATATTATATTGAAATGAAAAAATAATATTTAAAAAAATTGAATTAATTATAGAATAATAATATAAGTATTTAATATTTTAAAAATTTAAAAAAAATTCAATTATCTTTCATAAAATAATTACCAAAAGACAATAGAAAAATTTAGTTCCTTAGCATTTTTAAGACATACATTAATAAAATAAAAATATTTAATATTCTTTCATAAACAACTGAAAATACTTAATAAGAACTAACAAATGCTTCTTAACAAATGCATTAGGGTAGTAGATAATTAAATATTATCTTGCATAAAATTTATTCTTAAACTTTTCTGCAAGAAATACCAAGTTGATTTTATTTATGGGAAAAATCTTTTTCTTATAACATAAAATAAGTATATCTCTTACAATTTTAAAATAACTCATTTTGGGGATTTAGATAAAAAAATGTAGAATATTTTAATAAAATTATTAAAATACCTTATATTTATTCTCAAACACCCAAAATTATATTATTTTGAAATTATATAAAATAATTTTATTTTGTTATAAGAGAAATATTAATACTTAATTTATAAGTTCGATTTTTTCTGCAGGAACGACATAAATTAAATGTCTGCCACAGAGACATAAAATGAGATTCATTAATTTTTTTTTTAAGAAAAATTACCAAAATTTGATATCATATCTTGGCAAATATATATTCGTAACAGACAAACTATTCCTGCAATTTTACCTTAATTTACTTGATAGAATATACGAAATTTATTTTATCAGACATAGAATCCTCTCTTTCCCAAAAAACACGGAACAAGAAAGAATTACTTTGATTTTAAAAATAATGGCACTATTGTCTTGTTACTTAAAGAGGAAAGAAAAGAAAAGAAAAGAAAAGAAAAGGTGGCATAAAAAAATTATAAAGAAAAATTGGAAAACGCGTTTAATGCTGAGCATTCATATTCCAAACAGAACTCAACGACCAACTTCGAAGCTTTGAACACAAAACCAACACCAATCGTCACTTGCCAGAAGGAACATGGTGGAGGGAGAGAGAGTCACACTCTGTGGAATCATGCATTAGAGAGAGAGAGAGAGAGAGAGAGAGAGAAGTGTCTTTTGACTGAGCCTAGCCGGCAAAAGCCGTCTAAGGTTGTTGTCACTGTTGATGATAATACTCTTTTTAATGTCTGAAAACGCGTTGAACTTTCAGCTATACCCACCACAATTTTCTCTTTCTTGTTAAGCTTCTGATCCATCCTTACCCTTAATCCCAATTCAAAGGTCCACGTAGTCATTTTTTTTTTATTTAATTTTTTTTAGTCAATTCGATTATTTATATTAGTCTTTGAATGTTATCATCTTCATCCTAGACATGGTTGAATTTTCTCTCCTTTACTTTTTGCGTGGAAAAATAATTCCTTTCTGACAGTTAAAGAATTACCGGTGTGGTGTTAATATTGGGGGTTTCTGAATTCCGTGTTTGATTGGAGTTTACTGCTTTAGAAGTGGGTCTGTTTGAAATTGTGTGTTTTTGGATTCATGGTCTCTGCTTTAAGAAACAGGTTATAAGATGGAATTGGGTGTGTCCCTATGAAGAGAAGTTACAATCTTTGCTTTTGGATAAAAAAAGAAGGTACTACTTAGTGGGTGATTTTTAATGAGTTTTGGTGTAGTTGTTAGGAGAAGAAGTTTTTAGTGGTGAATGGTGATCCTAGTTCTTGAAGGATAATATTATAATATAGTTGAAGTATTATCTTGCTGCTGCAACATGGGTTGCATATGTTCTAAGAGTTCAGCTGTAGAAGACAGCAAGGAAGTTATCACAGAGAATTTGCATTCATCTAGCACAAGGCCCACAAGGCCCTCAGAGTTGAATGTTTTGCGATTGAATTCCAGCAAGAGGGTTGAAGGGGTTAAGTTGAAAGATACGTTATTCGATGGTGGCAAGGTTAAAGCTTCATTCATTGACAAGAAAGCCAATGGTTCAGTGCTGTTGCGTGATGATCAAAACGGGAAGAAGAAAATGGAGAAGCCTGAATTGACTGTTATTGATCATCCTGGCCTTGGAAGGGTTCCAAAGGCTACAGAAGGAGAACAAGTTGCAGCAGGATGGCCGGCATGGCTTTCTTCTGTTGCTGGTGAAGCTATTAAGGGATGGATACCACGGAGTGCAAATACTTTTGAGAGGTTACATAAAGTAAGCTACTGCCTTGTCTGATCTATCTGTGTTTGCATTATAATTAAACTGTTATGTAATTCTTACTGCTGTCTTGTGAATGCACTTGCCAAAAATCCTCTAAACACTGCCATACCATGTAGGAGGCTATATTCTCTGATGATCTTTATCATTGATGATGGTAGTCCTTTTATTTATATGAATAATTTGATGGCATTCTGTTGTGCAGATTGGGCAAGGAACTTATAGTACTGTTTATAAGGCACGTGATGTGACTCACCAAAAGTTTGTTGCGTTGAAGAGGGTACGCTTTGATAATCTTGATCCTGAGAGTGTCAAGTTTATGGCAAGGGAAATCCATGTTTTGCGTAGGCTTGACCATCCAAACATAATAAAGTTAGATGGCTTGATAACATCACAGACTTCTCGCAGCTTGTACCTTGTTTTTGAGTATATGGAGCATGATCTTACAGGACTTGTATCCAATCCTGACATTAAGTTCTCTGAACCACAGGTAGCGACGATTTCTTTTCATTTTCTCAGTCTTCTGTTTTACATGAAGTTGAGATTTTTGTGCATATACATGTCAGGTATAAGTTTAGTAAGCGTTGTACTTATTTGAGCTTTAGCAAGTGATTTTGCTTGCTTTTTACTGCGTTTTTGATAAGAAAGCTCCTAAAACAACAATATTTTTTATGTTAGCTGAAATGCTACATACAGCAACTTCTTAGTGGATTGGATCATTGCCATAGTCATGGTGTTCTCCATCGTGACATAAAGGGGTCAAATCTTCTCATTGACAATAATGGTGTCTTAAAGATTGCTGATTTTGGTTTGGCAAGTTTTTTTGATCCCCATCACAGTGTTCCATTGACAAGCCGTGTAGTAACTCTGTGGTATAGACCACCAGAACTTTTACTCGGAGCAAATCATTATGGGGTTGCAGTAGATTTATGGAGCACTGGTTGCATAATGGGGGAACTATATACTGGCAGGCCCATTTTGCCAGGAAAAACAGAGGTATGATGTTTATGAATCTAATTTCCATCATTTTGTCACCATAAATGCTTCATTACCCCCGGCTGCAATTTGGCTTTGATGATATAATATCTGTAAGTCTTTATATTTTATGGGATGCTCATTAATTTCAATAACTTAGGTCTACAGAAATTGCTTACTACAAGAATTGTTAAGGAAAAATTATTTTTACTGCAGTCACATGGTGAAAAGTATATTATTTCCTTATATTGAATTGCTATCACTTTTGTTGGCTGAATCTTCCTTATCTGTGCTTCTTTTACCTAGGTTTATGGTTAAGTTGTTAGTGTACTCCACTTCCTTATTCATAATTCCAGTTTCTATACTCATATATACCAGTGTAGGCTGTTGGTCCCAATTTTAATAAATTGATACTAATACTAGTACTGTGTTAATAAAGGTACATGAAGGTTAATTTTAGTTCCTTGCAGGTTGAGCAGTTGCATCGAATTTTTAAACTTTGTGGCTCACCATCTGAGGACTATTGGCTAAAATTGAGGTTGCCACATTCAACTGTATTCAAGCCTCCACACAATTATAGGCGATGTGTTGCAGAGACATTTAAGGAATACCCATCTGCTGTGAAGCTTATAGAGACTCTGCTTTCTGTGGAGCCAGCACATCGAGGGACAGCAGCTGCTGCTCTGAAAAGTGAGGTATGCTGATTTATGTCTCCAGCAAGCAATTATATAATTTGATTGAGATGAACTATATCCTTCTCCAATGCAATCTTAGTGGTATTTGAAGGATAATTTTCTTATCTGTTAATGTGTATACCGGCAAAATGAAGTTGTTCATGTTGTTTACTGCCATTATATCACCATACTCAACTATAGTCGATAGGCCAATAGATGCACACAAAATTGTGGTTAATGCTTAAATGCTATTGGATAAATAATTTAACATGAGGTTTCTCATTTGGACTAAGGAATGGATACTTCTCTAATCACATAACTCATGCTGTTGGATTAATAATTTAACTTGAGGTTTCTCGTTTAGACTAAGAATTAATGTTTCTCTAATCACATAACTCATAAATGTCTCTCCAAATTCACCCTCATTTAGATTCTCCCTTAACTGCGGAAGAACTTGAGATCAGACAAATAGGGATTTCCTGACATTGGAAATATCCAAATTGCAGGCATTTCATAAGATATTTAAGTGATGTGCCAATATAAACTCCTAGTTCTAAATGTTGTTTTCCATGATTACCTGTAAAGAATGAGTACTGTACAGGATAGTTATTAACAATAATTCAATCTCAATTTTCTTTTAATGATCTTTTTTTACATGTTTTTGATAGAGCCCAATTGCATTGGTTGATGTATCCTACTTCACTTTTTGGAAAAATGTTAGTTGTTGTTCTTTATTTGCATGCAACTGCAAATATACATAGTCTTTTAGTCTTTAAAAGTCATACTGTTCCCGTTTTTGTTCTTTCTTTTTTCCTTCCATGCTTAAACAAAATCTTCTTGCCATTGATGCAAAGGCAGGTGAAAAAATCATGAAGTCAGAACTTACCAGAGCTTTGTTTGTAACTTGCAAGTAAACAAAATCAAGAGATATATTTGTCACTATACTGCTATGTTATGAAGTAGGAATTAATTATCATATTTCTCACACAATTCTGTTGTACATGATATTGTAGGAACCGTTTTCCTTTCTAAACTCCTATGAGACATGTGATTCTCCACTTGAATCTTCCCCCATTTATATTGACATTTCTTATGATATTCACAGTTCTTTACATCAGAACCTCTGCCTTGTGATCCATCAAGTTTACCAAAATATCCTCCCAGCAAGGAGATTGATGCTAAATTGCGGGATGAAGCAACCAGAAGGTACCTGATATAGGTTGATTCATTTTAAGTTGAGGCAAAAACAATGATATGTATTTTTAGTAATGACTATTATGATAATGGTTTCAATCTTTAGAATGAAATGTGTTGTTAGGACTATAAACTATGTCTTAATGTGAACAATTTCTGTGTGATCAACTTGATTTCTTGTTGATTATTAATTTGAATGTTGACATCTCTGCCATGAACCAAAGCATCATTGATGGGGTCTCTCATATACTACTTATAGTACAAGAAATTTGCATATTGTTGTTGGTCGAAGTCTTAAAGTCATACTTATATCTGAGCCTTCTAAAGCATATTGGCAATGTAACTTCAACTGTATGCTTTTAATTGTTTCATCATGACTGTTGGCTATGCTTTGTGTGCCACTTGATTTATGCATTTGTAGCAAAAGGGTCCCTTGTTATGTAAGCCTATTGTTGATAAGAAAACTAATATGTACTCATTTTTTGTTTATTGTCTTAGGCAAGGAGCTGTTGGAGGTAGGGAGCAAAAAGTTGCCTCGGGAGTTAGACAAGAAAAAGGACCTAGGGCCCATGTCACAGCAAAAGGCAATGCCGACCCAGGCGCATCAATACAGGTAATCCAAACAAGGTTCAAATTTTATTGTTTGACCTGCCTCTATTGGATACCTCAGGATATCATGTAAATACCATTTAGTGTAGTGATATTGAAATTGAGGGAAAAGAAAAGTAAGTTTTTTATAGTAACAAATCAGCTAGTAGAATCTTCAGCATTTTTGGGTGGAGATTGGATTGTTGTGAAATATACAGATACTTTTCTGTTTGATGATTACCGGTTCTTATTGTTACAGTCAACCAAATGATTTTGTTCCTTTTCTTATCAGTTCTTTGTGTAAGACCTACCTCATGCTAATTATTATGTGATTATGTTAGAATACCTAAACCTTTTTGGGTTGTTGCAACACTCAAATCTAAATTTCGAGTCTAATGGTACCTCTTCCTTTTTAGTAATGGGACAAAGAGTATCCATGGGTTTGAAACAGTCTGGTGTATCAGTGATTTGTTAGTCCCAAAACAGAAAAAGAAGCAGATTTCTTTGCCTAGTGCCTATTGTTTCTTTTATACAACTTCTCTTAAACCTGTTGACATGCTTTACAACAGCGTTACCTCAAATACTATATTTTTGAGTACTCTAGCGCTCTTTTCACTTATGTTCTTTCTACTACCCTACTTTTTATCTCTTTTTCCTCTCGGCTTATGTTACTGTTGTCTGATGCAGCAAGAGAAACGTTACTCCAGCTCAAAGAACCTAGGTGAATTGTCCAGTCGTCATAGGGAACCTGGGTCTGGTTTTCTGGCTTTCCCACACAAACAGTCAGCAGATATTAAAGAAATGGAAAATAATTTATCAGGGCATGTTTATAAAAGGCCTTCACATTCAGGTCCACTCGTTCCTGGTTTTGGCTGGGCAAAGAGTGGGAAGGAAGTGGATGATGGGCCTTCTGTTTCAAACAGAGCGAACCTATCAAAGCTATCTGGGCTAGTGGCATCTAGGACTTTAGATCAGGAGGAAAAACAAGTTCACTTGCACCTCAGAAAACCAATTGAAGTAAGAAAATCCATTGAGTCAACTAATGTATCAGAGTCAAGAAGAAGGCACGATCAAAAACGGATCGTTGATCTCGGTCAACATGAAAATAGAAGGGTCCCTACAGAAAAATCAACTCCGGTTAGTTAATCTTATTATTATTATTATTTGTTTCGTTCTGCTCTACTAGTTCTAAATATATGAAGCCTTCCCTAGGCATCAATAAATATTTGGATCCTCTTCTATTAACTGACCATCAATAAGTACTGATTATAATTAAGGAAAAAATATTTCTGCAGTTAATGCAGATAAGTTATCTGCATTTATTTCCAAAACGACGTCGTTTAGGTATTGAAATCTTAAAAAATTATAAATATAAAGATTATTATAACCCTGAAATAAATTAAAATTACAAAAACACTATGATTTTTGCCCAAAACGACGTCGTATTGAGCTTACTGCAGATAACTTATCTACAGTAACGGCAGAAAAAACGAACCCTATAATTAATGGATTCCTGAGTCCAAATATTTGTTCTTAGAATAAATCATAAATAATTGACAACTAAGGTACTATTGCAACATGCTTATTTGCTCTATCTTGCTGAGTAATTGAATATTGATGTGAGGTCCTATTTCAGGAGGGGCGTGGGTCACTATTTCAGGAAGGGCGTGGGTCCAAGGGAAACATGATATATCTCTCAGGTCCATTATCCTCAAGCAATATGGATCAGATGCTCAAAGAGCATGATCGGAAGATCCAGGAGTTTTCAAGACGAGCAAGAATTGACAAGTCAAAAGCAAGAGGTGATAAAGCTCGTGCACAGCGAAAGTAGTCCAATTGCATAGCTATTTCTGATTGTTCAGCTTCTTACATATTTTTATGACAACATTTATTTATCTCTCAACACTTAAGGGGAGAGAAAAAAATGGGGAGAGGGAGAGAGTGCATTCACTCTTACTGTAGCATAGCATATTTCATGTAAATTGCAGAATCTATAAGAAGAATTTAATCTTCCTTCCACTCTTCATGTTTCACCCTTATATCTATATATATAATATAAGCAATATGATTTATTTACCTTCCACTCTTGATGTTTCAACTTTTGATTTACACAAGCAAAGCTAGTTTATGTTCTTTGGTCCGGTGTGGTCTAGTAGATCGAGGTTGGAACCACAATCTCCCCTTGAATACTTAAGTTGGGAAAAATGCTAGCTACTCTCATGTCTATAGTTTAAAAAAATAAAATCTAGCTTATGTTCTTTGGTGTTACATTTATTTTCCTAACCATTAAGTTAGAGAGGAAAAAAAGTATATCCCATGAAGTTGAGAGGGATAATCATTGCTGAAAATTTTAGAACCATTCCCAATACGAGTAGAAAGCAGAAGACAAAAGGACAGATGAAACAGTATGATAATAATTTTATGGGTTTAATGTGTGTGACTTTAAAAACAAGAAGATTGCAACGTTTTATGGCACAAAAATGAGACAAAAAAAGAGTACTCTAAAAATTAGTTACCCTGGTAAATGAAAACTCATAATTTAGTGAAACAATAAAAGGATTTTTTTAGGATTCCCATGAAACTGAAAGTGGTAATTTTATTTATCCACGTTTGATACAAGATTTTTAAAATTTTTCGGGAATATAATTTTCCCGGGATTTTATTTTGTGTGTAATTTTTTTTTAAAAAACCATCCAGGAATACCATTCAAAAGGTGGTATTTTAGGATTTCTATGACAAGGGAAAATTTAATACAACTAAACATAGTATCAAGAAAATTAACTCAATATTTCCGGGAATATGTTAGTCTACCAAACAACTTTTTGATAACATTTTCAGAAAACTCATTTTCTCATCATATTCCTAGAAATCGTGATTCCCAGATATTTTTTTTTCTCTCTACCAAACGCCTCCTAATTGCTTGCTCTCCAGCAAACCAATTGAAAAGTTTGAATTGCTAAAACTCCAAGCGAAAATTCTACTTATGTCCACCATTCTCCCTGTTGCTCCAGAAAATCCCACATGCATTTCATCCAACAAAATCCCATAAAGATTAACAGGCCTACTAATCATAGGCCTTTTGAGTCCTCCTTTTTTCCTGTGGGAGCCATAGTTACATTAACCAGTGAATTCAAGAACTTTATCTGTACTTGATAATCATAACCATTATCCGGTTCCAACTTCACCAGTTCTACCAACCCAGAACCTAGCAGATTCATAATACAAGAAATCAGTGAATTCATGTCAACACCCACATGATTATTGTTATACACTGAATCCATATCACAATAACTTATATCTAATAGAAGATTGAGACTTATCTTAATGATATCCCAACCACTTGGGGGCGTTTGTTTGGGGAGTTTGGTCAAGTTCCCTGGGGAAGTGATTCGAGGATTCTCAGAACTCCACGTTTGGTTCGCTGGATTCATGACATATATCCATCTTTCGTTGTTCCCCATCATTCGCCAATTGCATGTGATTTTTGTGAAAAAGCACTGTTCCAGATTGCTTTTTGGAGGTTCGTATTCTGGCTGAATGCAGGAGAAGTGAAAAAGTGGTCTAATTCGGTGACCCATTTGCCCCTCACACGTGACCAACTGTTTTAGATGTCGTTTGATTAGCGTTGCAGTAGCTTTTGTTCCATCGGTGCAAATTCAGAGCATTATCGCCATTTGATGGAAGGATGAATTCTGTTTCGCTGTTCTCTTGCTTAGCTTTGTAAATTGAACCTCGTCCTCATCCATGTGAAATCGGAGCTGAAAACAGTCAATAATTCTACAATATGAACGTTTAGTCCATAATCTGTCATCTACTCAAACACCCCAGCTTTGGACATTATCAACAAATATTTGGTCCTTTTGTGTTTTAACTTTGGTTTTCTTAAAATTTGTTGATGAAAGTTCCCAAATTGCTAAGCCGAATTAAAATTTATTGAATAAAGGGTTGTTTCAAATAAGGGTTATTTGGTAATTTAACTAAATTTAGCCATCAATATTTTAACTTCAACTAAACACACATTCAAAAATTTTACTCAATTTATCCAGTAAAATTTTGTCCAACCAAACAACTTTTTTTTAACTTTCCTACCAAACTCATTTTTCAACCATTTCCCTAATAATTACATTTCCCTAGCATTCAAAAAATTTCTCCTCAACCAAACGCCCCCTAGAGGATTAACGAATAAGACTCCTAATCCAATAATGATACTAAAGAGCTAACAACCTATAGATCTCAAAGCCCATGGAAGTAAACATTATACATAAAGGCTAAAGACTTTAGATACAGACTTCGCAACTCATATTCCATTACTGCTAACACGGTGCATACATATCGCGTCCTGACTATTTGCCTACTATCAATGCGCAATGATTGTACATTGACTTCAAGCCAATACAATATTTCTCTTTTAAATATCTTTGAGTGCATACCTATATGGTAAATACTCACGGTCTATATGGACTGAACAATTATCATTTATTTCATTGAATACTTCGTTTCTAAAGTCATCAAATTCAATAGCAAAAACATGGTTGGAACAATGACCTAAATTGGAACGATTAAAAAGACCCAAATATTTTCCTGAGAGGGTCCAAGTTATGTCCATAACAGGTGAGAACATGAAAGAAAGCCCATGAGCAGTAGGGAAGTCATTACAAGGAGCAATGGAGAAGGTGAAAGAAGTTGCAAAAGGAAGAGGGGTGGAAGAGTTGGCTAATATCATAGGGTAAAAAATATGGTCTATGGTGGAAAAAGGTCTGGTTAGTAAAAGAATAGAGTCCGTTTGGATGAGCTTTTTTTTCTTTAAAAGCTGCTTTTTTTCAAGAAAAAAAAAACACTTCTCGTTTTTAGTTCGTTTGGATGTCTGCTTTTAAAAAAAGCAGAAGTCACAAAAAAAGTCAAAAACTTACTTTTTCCAGATGCTAAAAATTTTAACTTCTAAGAAAAGCAAAAGTCAAATAATTTTTTTTAAAAACTAAATATTTTTATAAAAATATAAATAACTTTAACTTTTATAAAAAACATTTCTAAAATAAGAAAGAGATAAAAATCACTTTTTTTTATAAGCCGAAACAAACAAGCTAGACTGAAGTCTTGGAATCCACAAAGTGAACGAGTTCCGTTATAAAGAGAAAAGAGATAATTTTTTTTTTAGAATCCGCTTATATTTATGTAAATATAACAGAAATAAATTTTTTGGAGCATTGCCTAGTTACTTTATCCTTTTTTTAAATGTGAATTTACTATAAGATAAATGTTTGATGAAATTGAGGGATTAATCTCCCCTCTGGCTCCACCATTGCCTAGTTACTTGAGAAGGGGAGTTCTGAGTTATTAAAAAAAAAAATCTATTAATTTCATGTTGCATGAAATAATTATCTCATGCAACAGAAACAAGATAATAGTGTCCACTATTTATAAAAAAAAGGGGAAAAGTTCACCAATGCTTCTGTGGTTTACTTTATAATCACTTATGCCCCTGTGATTTTTTTCTTATCATATATGCCCCTGTGGTTTGTAAAAGGGTATGTTTTTTTATCATATATACTCCTGTGGTTTCTTATTTTTTACAAAACACAGGAGCGTATGTGATACGAAAAAAACCACAAGGGTATAAATGATTCTAAAGCAAACCAGAGGGGCATTGGTGAACTTTTCCCTAAAAAAAAAAACAAAAAAAATAATGTACTATTTTGTCTCTGTTGTAATTATCTCATGCAACATGAGATAATTATTTCCTTTAAAAAAATTGTTAAGAGAACCACCTTTTATGAGTTCCATAGCAAACTTAATTAGTGTTTCAATAAATGGGTGAATCAATCCAAAATATATAGAGTTAGTGCAATCAACACACTTCATTGTTCCTTCGAAGAAAATATCTCAAGGTAGAATAATTACTTATAAGTTAATCCACATGCTTAGTGGGGATGTATACTTAATTTAACTTCCCAATAAAAAATTAGAAATGCTATTTAAATACATCAATTTTTTTACGAAGCTAACTATGAAAAGAAAAATATATAATTATACATGAGTGATTAAAGAAAAAGTCATTATATATTCAATCATTTATATTAATTTGTACTACTTTCGAAAAATACTTCTAAGTAAACAACTTTATAGTTACATACTGTAGAATGTAACTTGGTTTTACAAGCTAATTAACTATGTTATACTAAATACAATGTTCCTTATAGCAAAATAATAACAAAAGGAGGATAGGGGAAAAAGTGACAATAATTATACTGTTGGCTCTTTTTTTTTTTTTTCAGTTTATAAAGTTTCTTTATATTTTTTTAAATATGAGACTAGCTTCTTAAAGTTGTCTTTAAGTATTTCAATTGCTGAATTTAAATTTGTCTATAAATTAAACAAATTTTGAATTTTTTTTGTTTTTTAATAATAGAAAACTCATTTATCTTAATTTTTTTGTAATTTTAATTTAAGATGAAATAGTAAATAAAATACATGTGAATAAAATAAAATACAGGATTTTATTTTATTTTTAAATTATTTTCGCCTTTATAAATTTTGATCTGTGTGATTAGACAATTAAATGTATTTGAATAATTTACAAATCCAAAATTGTCATAACGAGCACCAGTGGTCTAGTGGTAGAATAGTACCCTGCCACGGTACAGACCCGGGTTCGATTCCCGGCTGGTGCATTCCTCTTTTGGAGGAGGGAGAGTGTCAGAAAGATTCTTTTTGGTACTTTTCAAAATTTCTCTGTCTTACCGTCCTTGTCTTAAGTTCTATTTTGATGCAGATTAAAGATTATGAATTTCTGTATACAAAACAAAAAATATTATGAATTTAATAAAGGATTTGTGTTTTGATTTTTTTTGTTTTTAAAACTGTTTATTAAAATAGTTATTTTTTATATTTTTTTAATTTTTGAAAGTTAAAAATCAAACAGAAAACAAAAATAACTCAGACATGTTATTTAAATTTGATTCTAAAAATAAGAAAACAGTTATAGATTTCAAAATATTTTTTACAAAACAGACCTTATCAATCGAATTTTTTAA